TTACATCATTGACAGCTGCTTTTCAATTAAAGTGGAACTCATAAATTACCTACCTTGTCATTGGTCATTTGCAAAGGTCATTTGCAAAATTATTTTGTTAAAAATCATTCTGATTGTACACACAACGAGTTTCTGATTGACAATAATTATGTGGTTTTTTGGAGACCAGGTCTTCCAACAATCTATTGGAATTCCCATTGGTACCAACTGCGCCCAGTTATTAGCAGACCTATTTTTGTATACATATGAAGCAGAAGTTCTCCAAAATCTTATACGTGAAGAAAACACTTGACGTGGGCTTGAACTCGACATTTTGATATACTAGTATCGACATTGTATTTTCAATTAACAATGGTTATTTCAATTCTTGATACGATAGATGTCGATACGATATACCCCGATGAGTTTAAGATAAAAGAAACCACAGAGTCTGTCACACCTTTCATATTTGCCTTTATTTGGATATTTTACTTGAAAAAGACATGAATGGTAATCTAACAACCAAGCTCTAGACAAACGTGATGACTTTAAGAGCCATTCTCTGTAATGACTTAAACTTTTATATAGGAGCTGTGGCACGCATAGTCTCAGAATTTCTCCAAACTCTCTGTGATAAAAGTCTTTGATACCTTAAACTGAAATCAGGCAAAAACTGGTTGCTATGTTTTATAGTTACCATGGCAACATGTCTTAAAGTTTGAAAAATGGCATTTTTTAACATGTTTAGAGCCCCATAGTTAACATTTGCGGCAAAGCAAACATTTGGCAATGACTGTTTCCAAAAGTTGAAGGTCAGATGTCTCAAATGCATGATAAACATGTTTGGTAAATTAACTATTACATACGTTACTATGGTAACAAACTATTCAAAAGTAAAAAAAAATATTCATTGAATTTTATAAAGTCATACACGTAAAAATAAAAAGCAATTATAGGATAAAATGTGACCAAATAATAGAAAAAAGAGCCTTGAAACATATACCAAGAACAAAATATGATATTTCATTTTGGTTGGCAATGGTTGCCAAGGTTTTTATACCACAGAGAGCCTTCAAAGTAACACTGTGTATGTTTCAATCTGATCCTATCTTTTAAAAAAGCACATTTCCTCATAACTGATGATCAATTTTTGAAGATGTTGGTGTGCTCCTAGTTTTCCCATTTGAAAAAATTCAGTTTAGATTCTTTAAATAGAGCGTTGCTATGGAAATAAGCAGAAAATATATGCTTAAAAACCTGAAAAATATTTTCTGTCCTTGGATACGTACCCTTAAATGTAGATTCCCAAAACTTTTATGATTGATATTTATTAACAGCTTACCTGACTTTTAATTTTGACTATCATCCAATCTCTAAGTGGATGCAAGAAGTTGGCACACAGGGTTTAATATTAATATAAAGTTCACAAAATCGAACATTTTCCCTTCTTGGTAACCATAGCAACAGTGTTGTTTTCTTCATCAAATTTTATCAATATATGATATTCAACTTCAGTTCTAACAGATAAGTATGATTCAAGCTGATCATTTAATTTTTTTCTTGTTTATATGGCAATTTAATTCTTAATGCAGCGAAAAATAATTCACTTTTAAGCACTGGTACTTTGTTTCCATGGTAACACTGCAAAGTAGCAATTATACCCAATTTTTCTTATGGTTTTGGTGTTGTAAGGTCCTGAGGATGCATATTAGCCAGGCTTGAATTTTCATGTTTTTCCTCAAGACAGTAGTATTAACCCAAACTTAGTTACTTGTTTTGCATGGTAACACTGTGTTACCATGGCAACCATAAAAGTTATTTATAGAATAATGTTGCTTATACTTATATACTTATGGTTAAACATTTTCATTGTTTTTCTTAAGTCATTGATTGAGTTTGAGCATGTAACACCTACCATTAGTGAATACGGAGTGTTTTTCAGCATATTTCAGCATTTTAAATGTATTCCAAATGTATCTTTGGTTACCACTTACTTAGAGATATATTCTAAACATTTTCTTTACAGTATAAATGACATCAAGGTGTCATGTTTTTGTGAGAATGACTTGTTTGCTTTTTCTAGTTTTTATTAAGCCACAGTCAAGATTTAAAGTGGCTGAAAATCTCTATTTTTCCAACTTTTCCGGCTGTTGCCATAGCAACCGAGACACATAGCAACGAAATTTTGTTTGATATTTGTTTCTGGTGTCAAGTAGTAAGCATGGGTGAAGTTTCATCAAAATCGGTGACCATACGTGGCAACGAAGTTTAAGTGGTTACAGAGAATGGCTATTTAAAACTTTTCAATCGTCAACTTCTCTTACTTATGCAGCAATATACTGTAACTTCATCACCTTCATACAGAGTTTATATCTCTCAGTTGATTCTATACGCAAAAGCATGCATTACGTATGAGCAATTTCTAAAACGAGGTAAATTCTTGACAAAAACGTTGATGATTCAAGAATTTCAGCAGTCTTGTTTAAAGTCATCATTTCGTAAGTTCTATGGTCGATACAATGATTTTGTCAGCAAATAATATTTATCATTGTAACCTTGGAAAATATATTTTAAAAGCATTTGAAATAAGGAACTGCCGATAATTAATATGTAAATTTTACATGCATATCGTACTTGTTACATTTGTAAATCTGTACAGGTATTATTATTGTTGTATAATCTCTGTCATATACTAGTAATATCATCATTATTTTTGTTCTTTCATATGTACAACCGTTCATTTCCTATGTAAATAATATTGTACATTTTGTAATATGCCATAGGATGTTTATCCTGAGCAATAAATAAATTACAATCATTGAGTCAAATGCTGGTTGATGTCTTTCATACTACATGTGATTGTTAGTCCATTATTTATTAACTGAATTTACGAGGATTTTACCGTTATTTTCCGATCATGCGGAGCACACGGCGGGAATGACCGGTCTGCAGGGGTTGCTCACTCCTCCGTGGCACCTGGTCCCATCTCTTATGTTTTGGAGGTCCGTGTTTGCTCTGCTCCTATTTTGTATTGTTTTATGGACTTTGAGCTTGAATACTTTTCGCTATCTTCATATAATAAAAATATTCAAAACTGGCATGTGACTTTGAAGAACTTCTTCCATAGAAAGGGAAATATGAGTATAAGTTAAAAAAAACTCTTCATAAAAAAATGAGATGATTAAAAACATACAAAAACATTATGTAATCTTATTTTATGAATAAGCAAAATTGACATTGATTTAATGAATGGGGTGGGGAGGTAAATTGCAGTATCATTTATATACTCTGAACTTTAAAAAGAGTATATTTAAAAATTATTCAGTAAATACTGTAAAAATTTTAATCAAATGAAATGATAGGTTTAATTTTTTTTTATTTCAAGCATTTTTGAAGACTGTTATAGTCGTGAAAAAATGAAGTCTTAAAATTCTATAACATTTATCTTTCTTAGCATTATAAAAATCGAAAATAGGCTCCATTCCGGAGACACTTCCAGTTTTCGTATAGAGAAAATTTAAGAAATTTTAATTTCAAATCTGTGTCAAAGCACGTTTAATTAGAGGTATATGTATTTAATTTATAATTGAGTATAATGACGCGTTTCTTTTCAACTTCAAAAATCAACAAATATCCTTCTTTAAAGATGGAGAACACATTTCTCAAGGTTTTTAGTGATCATGTCTATTAAGGTATCAACCACATTGTCCTCTGTATGATTTATTTTTTGAGAGCAGGAATAACATTAAAGTAAATCATGAATAAAGGGAGCACCTTTTTCAAAACCTTTTACTAGTACTAAGTTGTCATGCATTCCATATCTGCCAAAGTTGTGCTGATACAATGAAGTCACTTGATGTGGCCTTCAACTCGACATTTTGATATATCAATGGTTATTTCAATTCTTGATACGATAGATATCGATACGATATATCCCGGTGAGTTTATGATAAAAGAAACCACAGAGTCTGACACACCTTTCATATTTGACTTTATTTGGATATTTTACTTGAAAAAGACATGAATGATAATCTAACGACCAAGCTCTAGACAAACGTGATGACTTTAACTTTTTAATCGTCAACTTCTCTTACTTATGCAGCAATATACTGTACCTTCATACAGAGTTTATCTCTCAGTTTATTCGATATTCAAAATCATGCATTCCGTATGAAAAATTGCTAGAACGAGGTAAATTCTTGACAAAAAATGATTCAAGAAGTTTAGCAGTCTCGTTTAAAGTTATCATTACGTAAGTTCTATGGTCAATACAATGAATTTGTCAGCAAATACTATTTATCACTGAGTAAAATGCTGGTTGGTGTTTTCATAATACATGTAATTGTTAGTCCATTATTTTATAAACTGAATTGACGACGGATTTTCCCGTTATTTTTCGATCATGACAAGGAGCACACGGCGGGAAGGACCGGTCGGCTGGGGATGCTCACTCCTCCATGGCACCTGATCCCACCTCTGATGTTTTGTAGGCTCTGCTCCTATTTTGTATTATTTTATGGACTTTGATCTTGAATACTTTTCGTTATCTTCATATATTAAAAATATTCAAAATTGACAAATGACTTTGAAGAACTTCTTCCATAGAAAGGGAACTATGAGTATAAGTTAAAAAAAACTTTCACAAAATGAAATGATTAAGTGATTAAATACAAACGAGAACACTATGACATCTTTTTTTTAAAAAAAAAAGAATAAGCAAAATTGACATTGATTTAATGAATGGGGTGGGGGAGGTAAATTGCAATATCATTTGTGTACTCTGAACTTTAAAAAAAAGTATATTTTTTAAATTATCTAGGAAATACTGTAAAAATTTTAATTAAATGAAATGATAGGTTCAGTTTTTTTTTATTTCAAGCGTTTTTGAAAACTGTTATATTTGTGAACTAATAAAGTCTTAAAATGCTATAATATTTATCTTTCTTAGCATTATGAAAATCGAAAATAGGCTCCGGTCTGGAGACATTTCCAGTTTAATTTGAGAAAATATTACGTTCAAATCTGTGTCTAAGCACATTTAATTAGAGATTTATGTTTAGAATTGAGTACAATGACGTGTTTCTTTTCAACTTCAAAAATCAAAAAATATCTTTAAAGATGGAAAACACATTTCTCAAGGTTTTTAGTGATCATGTCTATAATGGTATCAACCACATTGTCCTCCGTATGATTTATTTTTTGAGAGCAGGAATAACATTAAAGTAAATCATGAATAAAGAGAACAGCTATTTCAAAACCTTTTACTAGTACTTTTTTTCATGCATTCCATATCTGCAAAAGTTGTGTTGATACAATGAAGTCACTTGCTAGAGCACTATTTGCCATAGTATGGAGAAATCTTCTGTCTTCCTGTGTTGCAGTTTTTCCACGGCCAAACATTTTCGTAATCGCAATAAAATGTCATAAATATTCCCCCTCCATAACTTGATGGACAGTTTTTATCGCCGAAGTTCCATGTGCTCCTTACGGCTTCTCCGTACGTTCGTCCATACATACGTGGCGATTGATTTGTAAGATTCAAAACCCCTGAACATGGTCGGTAAGCTGGGGGATTCGATCCGGGGATCAAACACCGAGGCTGACAGACCCGACCACAAGAATCAGAGGCCGTCAGGTACAGCTGCGCAGCTCCTAGATCCGGGTTCTTTACACCAACATAGGAAACGGCTTCTGTTATCGGTTGTCTCTCGTCTATAACTGCATAGTCTAAATAGGTTCCGCGATATGAAAATCCATCAGATTGCACAAAGACTCTGGTCGACCCTCCAAGGCTTTTGTAACAATTAGGGTAGGTAGCAGGTGATATTTTTGGTGATATATTCATGAATTCGGGGTATGCCTGGGGGGAGTACATGTCAACACTTGGTATAATATGTGAGTTACGCACGATTCTTGATCCAAAGTAATTTCCAGGAGGTCTCATATAAACGATACGAACTGGCATGAAAACCCAGCGACGAATGTCAGAAACGCCATCCAAAGTAAAAGTATTCTGAATAGGGATATCATGAACATGAACCATTCTACGAATATCGTCTCTACTAAAAGGGCTATTGTGCATTTGGTAAGGTCTACCTAGTATACTCCTTGTTTGGGTGTTAATTTGTTGTATTCTTGGATCCCAAAGATGTCTAACTGGACTATTAGGTGATGCAAATAATGATTGTTGAAGATTTCCAGACTGTCCGGTGAACGTGAACCTGTTTTGTGTCCCTGGCTGCATCGTCAGAGCATTTCGACCCATTCCTGATCCCAACATACTAGTTTGTCTGGTTCCGGAATTCTGACGACCCGCTCCCACAATACCAACAAGAGATGGGTTTAGGCTTGCCAAAGGAGAGACGCCGCCAGAGACTCCTCCATTGAAACTACGCATGCCTTGTAAGGAACCAACAGGAGCCCCTCTTGCGAGGCTCCCTCCTGTTCTTGGATCATTCATAGAGGCCTGAAAGGATACACTTCCCGCGGGACTACCCCCTGCTTCCCCATTCATTCCATTTTGATTCACTGTTCTTGAGTCGACAAATGAGGCTAAGAATGGTACAGCTGGTTCCGGTTCCTCTTCAGATACTCCAGCGAAATTGACTGAGAACGCCATCATTTGAGCTGAGGTCGCCTCGCCTATGTCGCTAGCGGTTCGTGCAACACATACCCCGCCTTGGCACGTTAAAAATCTGGAATTACCACAATTAGTAGCGCATGATGGCATATCTTCATACTGATAAAATTCTGTAGTAAAAATATCGCTGTAGCCATCCAAATTGGTATAATTGGTGTAGGTGTCCATATTTCGATCTGGATTATGCAGCTGTGATGGGCGTTGCGTCATTGGCCAAGGATAGTCAGTCTCGGGATCCACACCAAATTGCCTTATTTTTTGCCTAAATCGCTCCCAAATATAATCAATAAAGGTATGGTGAAGAAAAAATACGGGATCGTAAGCAGTCACAGTTGCATCAACCATATGTCCTCCTACCCAGACGTGAACGTTGTTGTGCTGGCCCTCAAGGGTATTGGCTAAATTCTGTCCATACCCAACAAGAATTTGTCTATGTCTTGTAACTTGAGGGTTCGTAAGAAATCGACTTATTGCCTGCTTTGTCATCAGAGCAGATAATCTCACTCCTATGTTCCTGTTTAGAACCGAACCATCTGGCACTCTCCAGCCTGCGAAAGGTCCATTATTGACATTGCCATTACCATTTCCTACCAAAGATGCAGTGAATAATGAAGTTTCTCGAGGGTTAACCATATCATTGTCCATTGTGGAATCCCAGTAACAGAGAGACACAGAGCTATCAACTCTTTGGAGTGCAAACTCTAGACTGTAATTTAAAAAAGTCATTTCTTTATTGTTCAAAACCCGATTTACTTGTTGCTTTGTTAAAAAAATTCTGGGATATCTGCAATTAATATTTTTATTTTATTGAAAGTTATCATTGGTTATTTAGTTGGTAAATGTCGCACGGTAAAAGAAAGAATATAAAATATAAGAAAATTAGTTTAAATGTTTTATGCCGTGTAAAAACTTTAAGAAACTTTATACGTCATGTATCTTGTTGAAAAATGAAACCATGTAGCAAATGATCATTCATTAATGATAACAGCAAAATTTTCAAACCAAAAAAGCATGTGGAGGCTTACAAAAGGAGGTAAACTCGGTGAAATCCTGGGAAATTTGGGCCACCATGTGCAGATGGAATAACAATGCCATTGTGGACACTAGCCCATGTGTCGTAAAACTGAAATCAAATTGAACAAATAATTGTGTAAGAAATACAGTGTACAAGTATATACACTTCTGTGTGGCAACAACATTAAAACGGAATAATCTTAATTTCAGAATGACTGAAAGATAGTGAAGAATCTAAATTATTAAAAGCACTGAAAAACACTAAACTTGATAGACTCTTTTAGGAATTTAAAGCACTTTGATTCAAAAATAGCGATGCAATCTTTCTTTGTTAAATGGATCAATAGTCGTTAAATGTGATTTTCAGACATTTATGGAAAAAAAATTTCAAAGAATAACATTTTCTGAATTCTCGATTCACGAACTCTGTTATCTGGACTGCTGCTTTGAATGCCCTTGCAACAGCAAGAACTGAAGTTTTTATTTTAATTCAATTTTTTGTCACTGCATCTTTCTTTACCCCGTTTTGTTTCAACACTGCTAGAGCATTGAAAAATCGTTGCCTTTGTGCGTCATCCAGGACTCGTATTTCTCGCCGGAAGGCGCGTTGCGCCTGTCTTTTGTGACGTCTTGTGTTACGAAGCCTCTGTTGGTATTCTCTGTAAAAGGATCGAATATAGTTGACCTGGCTCTCTGTCAAATTTAGCTGATGTCTTAGATGTGGGGTCTGCCAGATATAGCTGCCCAGACAATAACTTTGTACAGAATAGCCGGGAATGTCGGCAACGGTGAGCCCTTGTGTGAACTGTTCGTAACATTGCTTTAACAGATTTGGCATATCTGTTTCCCAAAGCATGGCGCGTGTTCGAATGACAAAGAGAAGTCCCAGAAAAGCGGGAAAAAAATGTAACTTTCTCATCTGAAAGTATATTTAAAGAAAACTATTTTAAAAAACCCATTACATTTCTTCTAGAAAAAAAATAAACCAAATTAAACAAACAAAACCAAAACAAGGGGGAGACAATGTTTTAAATAAACAAATACAATCAAGTGTTAATATATTGGGGAAGAAAAACGAAAAAAAAATAAAATAAAATAAGAAAGGTTAATAAACTTCAAACGAATTTAATATTCTGTGCAAGTTTGAAAATTTTGTCTTTATGCATTAATTATTTAATCTAGTATTATATTTCCTCCACGTGGTCAGGATCACGATGCACGATTTAAAAAAAAAACCATAATGAAATAAATTAAATGAAACAAGTGTTAATTCAAAATTTTGAATTAATAATTACCTCTTTAATTATTTCACGGACATTTTCATTGTTAATGAGTCACAAACATTTGGTTGTCAACAGAATAAGAATTAAGTTCTCATTAAAAATAACTAAAAAATTATGTAATTTACAGCGGTTTACGGTAAGTTTTGCCACGTTGGTGCATTAAAATATAGTGGGAGGGAGAGGGGTAAGATTTTAGCGATTTTTCTCCCTAGGGATGGAGGTAGAGAGATTGTATATTGTAATCATTAACTGTAATACCAAGGTTATTACATTGACAGATGAGGGAGGAGTGATGAAATGAAAATTGTTCCAGTTATTATTTTTTAATGAGAAAAAAGCGTGAAATTCTCGCAAGTAACCCCTGAAAATACATCATATACCAGGTGAATGATTCTCATTCCGCAATTCTCAGGTTGTCATTTTTTTTTCAAAAAGACCCCCCTTTTTTCTTTAGGTTTTTCTCTTTATGAATCCCTTTGCCGCGGTATATTTTCATGTACCCTTTATATTAATTTAATTTAAAAAAAAAATAAAGAACTAAAATAACAGTAAAATTTCAAGTGCACGAAAAATAAATTTTATTTGCCGAACGAAAGGGAAAAATTTGCATTTTGAGTGATTCCTTTAAAAAACTATTGCTTTTGTGTTATTTTCTTTAAAAATATCTTTAAAATACTAATCTTTAGCGAAAGTGTTCAATAAGTTTGAAAATTTCTAACTAAAGTTTTAAGTTTTTTAAAGAATGTTTATAACAAGTTAATAAAGATAAAACTTACTTTTACAGGACGTTTCTCTGACTTGCCACAAGCCTGTAATGTGCAGCAACCTATAAATATCCTGTCATATATATTTGACAGAAACTTTCCACTTTTATAATCACAGGGGGATTGCCAATATGTTGAAATTAGTTAACCTTTGTTTTGTCTTTTTGATTTAGATCTGGGCAGAAGGGCAGTAGTTTTGATTTTTAATTTTTTTTTTTAAATATACAGGTAATTAATTTTTTTCCATGCTATTCAAAAGACGTATATTATTTAATGAATCTATAGATATATATATTTTTGCAACTTAGGAAAATAAGCAATTGAATTTATAAAAAAATAATAATAAAGGTGTGATTTATATTGCATGATTTGTTTGCAATATGTTTGTATATTTTTGACATTTTAAATGTATACGTAGGGATGGCAATCGATTATAGAAATGCTAATCGTTTAACCGCAAGACCTACCGACCGACTAACCGTTTAATTTTTGACATTTTCTTCAAATTAACTATATGTAATACATTCATATGTATACACAAGAGAACTAAAAAAAAGTCAGAAGTTAGAAAAATCCTAATGATTTCTTTTCTAATTACATGTATACATAGATTTTATACCGGTCAATTAAAATTTTTAACAAACGTTCACAATCACAAAATTTGAAAAAATAAAAATAGATATAGATCCTAAAACGAAACAATAAAATTAAAATATATATTGTGACGTCATTTTCGTATAGTCATTGTGACGTCAATATTTTTTAAAGAAGATGTGTGTAACGGGTTTTATATTTGTGTAAGATTTTACGAATTTTCAACTTTGAACGTTTAGACACCGAATGAAAATTTCTACGTCAAAAGCACATTTCCATATTTATAATGGACCAATTCTTGAAAGCGGTCGGGTATTTGGACTCTCTTGTCAGACCGACATTTACCGATGCTATTTTGCAAATGTGTGTATTCTAAACATTCTGGGCTGGTGCATATAATTACTATTTCTAGAATATGTCAATGTTTGTATTTTTCTAACAGTTAAATTGATATTTTTATTTTTTTTAAAACAAATCTATCCTTTTTCTCACTTGATTGATCATTCACATTGATAGTAAAAAGCATAGAACACTATTGCTACCATTTAAAAAAACCACATATTCAGCAAAAACTGATTGACTATTGGATGTTGTTTACGTCCCTCTCAAAAATGTTTTTTCTCAAATGCAGCTTCCACTATTTTCCGATGGGGGGGGGGGGGGGGGCTACAAATTCTGGCCTATACTCGGCATATACGGCGACACGGGACTTCGATCTCATCCGAAGGACCGGTCTCCTCGTTCCACAGTTGTATTCCAACCCGCGACGTAAGGATCGACTCCTTACTCCGCAGGTGTAGAGCAGACGCGTTCTAACCACTGCGCCACGCAGGCGACTTTTCAGCCAAGAAAAATTTTAATTATTCTCGTCTCGCAATATGATTTTTCTCTGCTCAATAAATCTTGGATATTTCCCTCACAATCATGCAATATGATTTGAACATATTTTATTGTCTATAAACTTTACAAATGGGACTGGGCAAAATGCAACATTTGTATGTCACTGAAACCAATAGAAGATTTGAAGTGAAAAAATAACATTGTAATACTGGGCTTACTTTATCCAATCTCAAATGTTACCTCACAGATAAAGAACACACTAATCCTATTACGATACTGATACATATGTACTATATAAGGTCCACTAAATAATTTTATTTCTTCTTAGAAGCAATGTTTACATAGCCTAAAGTGCGATTTAATTAAGGTCTTCCGTCTTCACGGAAGACCTTCTAGTGATTCTACTGTTTCTTCTTATTATTATTAATTTTTTTTCCCCCAAAATTTTGTGCACGCGATTTCTCGAAAACCATTCAGTGGTTTAAAGTGAAACTTTCAGGAAATATGCGTCATTAAATGACGTTGTGGCATGACTAGGAAAATTTGGGATATTCACCTTCGGTTCCATGTTATTGACAGTTTTCTGATTTTAAAATTTTTGATTAAATTTTTATTGACTTTTTTAAACACATTTTCTAACTTTTTTGTTTTTCAATATTTTTCATTTATTTTTATTATGTTTATAGAAACCCTTCTTATAATGCTTACTATACAATTTGTTTGAATATTGATTAATCCAAACTCTAGATATTAACATTTAAAAATCTGAAGCGGGTCCAAAATGGCGGCTGTCTCTGTCAATGCCAACATTTCGCAATAAGGGTTTTCGGAGGCAGCCGAGCGTTTGCTTGAGTGAAAGTAACATGAGGATAAATGAAATGTAAAGGAATACTTGGATTGTCACGTCGTAGTAACGTTGCAATTCTGTGTCAAACTAACGTCTTCTATAATTGGTTTTGGCTGGTTCTCAAAGTAGAAAAAGAAAAGACTATATATGCAAATGAATACGATACGTAATATCTTTTGATTTGCAGAACAGATCTTAAATCATAGTTATAAGTTATAATTATAATTGTTTTTCAAGAAAGAATATCAATGAATATAGTAAGTACAAGTAACAGCTTTTTAAAAAGCTTGCCTGACTAAATCAATCAATTTATCTGCGTAAAGAGTGATAACCCTTTTGAGCAATACTTTGCGGGTTAAAAAAAATATCCAAACTTAATATTTTGAGAAACTTATGTAATTGAAATCTTGATTTTACTGAACTAGTAGAAGAGTCATCTCTACACTGCATACTAAAGAACTTTGTAGTTGAAGGGGGGGGGGGTGGGGGAGTGATCTGCCCTTGGATCTAACTTGATTTCAAGCTACATTGTAACACCTATTATAAAATCTGTTATCAAATCACGCATTGTCAACATTTTAAAGACGGATATAATTAAAAACACATTTTGTTGGAGTGTATTTTCTCCTCTGAAGTAAGCAGTAGTAATGTGTGTTCATTATTTTTTTCTTAAAAGGGGAGGGAGATGACACTATCATATAATACATGATATACATGTATTGAGAGTGAAATAAGTAAATTCAATAGTTAGGCTTTGTAGAAAGAAATATCCAAGATTATTCACTACTTTTTTATTTATCGTGTGCATCTGAACAAAGACATATAATAGATCATGCATCTGGAGACGATGGCTTGAACTGCGTTGTTTATTATTATTGGACTCGTCCATTTATGGAATAAACCAACCGCGGGATCGGTAAACAAATTAGAAACATCATTTCTTTAGTGTTACATGTCCATATACCATGCATACTGATGAATACGATATGTTGTTTTAAAGAATGGTATAAAACTTGTAGATAGAATTTCTGAAGCATTAGAAGGAAGTTAAAAGGACAAATTTTATTTAATTCCAAGGAAGTTAGCACACCCATTCATGCAATAGAACAATCCAAGGAAAGGCGCGAAGATAGCTTACTATAGTGACATTTGGCGCAAAAAGAGCGATTCACCCCTTTCGTAGAATATAAATGGACTGATCCAGTAGTATAGAAATGCAGAAAAAAGGATACACGGACATGTTGAAACGACAAATCATATGGAATAATCTGTTCCATGCAAAAAGATTAAAGGAAGTAAACACTGCAGTATTTCGCATCAGTAATATCTTTTTTTTCTGAAAACTGTTTCTTTTAAAATGCAGGTATCAAGAATTCCAATGTAAATCAGCTTGCACAAAATCTAGCTCTTTAGATATGGTCGCACATTTTCGGATCTTGGAAATATCAATCCTTATACTGCCTGACGCCGTGACGTCAGGCAATAAAACTTGACCACTGTTTTCCCATTCACACTTGTGTCATATGAAACTATGAGAAAAGACAAAAATAAGAAAACCATTTTTTTAAAAATCTTTTAATGGAGCTTGTCTCCAAGATCTGATTCAAGTTATTGAGCATAAATGGTATCCGATTCCTTGACCGTCGTAGGGAGAGCCAGGTTTTTCGGCAAAATATTTCAACCTTTTCATGAAAGTTTAACTAATCGGGATCGATCACTTTGGGGATAAACGGGAACTTAAAAAAAGTTAAAAATTCATAGCCATTTCACTGCTTTAGTGTTACTTATATACGATATGGAATTTGTTAAATGTGTTAGATATACTTTCTAAACCTCGAGTTTTAGGATATAAGAACGTTCTTTTTTAATCTCATTGAAGCTATCACACCTATCTAATAGAACATTCCAAAGAAAAGGCGCGGAGATTAGTTCGTGGTGTTTAGCGCGAAATTATGAATTGTGACTTGCCTTTTATAACTCTAAGACAGAAGCACTGTTGCAGAAGTATATACAAGTAGATTGAGAGCAGAGGTCCCAAAAGCGTAATATTTAGCGCGTTGGATTTTCATGCTGGCAGCTTGAGTTCAATTCCCCTTGTGTGCAATTCGTTTTTTTTTTACTTTTTCAACTCGATTTTACGTTTTTTCGGAATTGGACGGTTTAATTTTAGTTTTACTAATTATTGTAAGTAATAACCTATTTAAAATTAAACTTTATAATATATTCTGTTTTCAGATGCATATTTCCTTGAAACTTCTAGGTGCTGCCTTGACCGAAGTTTCCATTCGACTAATTATTATTTGTAAGCATTATTTTATCGTTATTAAGACGTCACTTCGTGATTATTTATGATATATATGTATTCAAATGTGGGTTCCTTGTTGATTTACTGAATCAATCGCAAGGTAAACCCTGTATTTTTAATTACGTTGACCTCGACAAGAATACTTTCTAAATATTAATTATTTATATTGAAAATTGCACTGACCCACTGACCCGACTGTGTAATGCGAACCTTTCAAATACACTGAACATGTCAGTGCAATCATTATAAACCTACAGTGTGTGTCAACTGTACATGCAAGATAAAATACAAATGCAACTTTAAAAAATTTTGGAAGAGCTTACTTTTATATATAGCTTGTTATGTGAGCCAGTAAATTGTCAAAATGGACGCAGTAACAGTAACATTTTCTTTCTCAGATGTCGGAAAATTAGAAGATAAGAAAGTGAATGGTGAAGAAGAGGTTACAAAGAGTAGTGTATCAGTTCAAACTTCCGGTCCGTGGCAAAAGAAAATTCGAAGCAAAGAGCGGGTATATTCGGAGCTTCTTGACCTGTTTTCAAATAAAACATCTATACTGAAGAGGAGAAGGCGGGCGTTTTTAAGGAAAGGAAAGTTAAGGGGTAATTAATCTGAAAAATCGATTTCATGAAACACTTCGATGCAATTTGAAAGAGCTTCTGCGTGTCTTTTCAACACTTTTAAAGTCATTAGCAGTAGTTGTTTGGCAACAACATTTTTTGAATTATAGTCATAAAGTCTCCTATTTTCCAGTAAACTATTTAGAAAAAGAGTACAGCGGTAAAAAGAAGCTTCTATCGGGAGTTTGTCACCGTCTGGTCAACATCGGAATCCATGTTGATCACCTCACCCGGCGCATGCGCGAGAAGCGACTCCTACTGGAGAACCGCCGCCTGCAGAACAAACAAGTGGTGGAGCGATACGAGGAACTAAACCAACAACTTAACGCTTACCTCAACACAGTGCTGAATGACCAGGGACAGAACGAGGAAGCTCCTTCAGAAATCCCCACAATGTGATGGGTTCAAATCAATTAGCAGTTTTAAAGGGATTAAAACTTTAATGGAATTATTGCAAAATTCTTCATGACTTTTTTTTTTTGGAATTGAATTTGACTTTTTTGGTGTTAAATATAATGAATTTCCTTGTATTTTTTCTTTTCAAAAAATGACATCATTAGTGTTTTTATGACAAATACTTGTGAATTTTTTTAAATCTCAGATATGGACTCTGACTTCCTTCTCAATCTCCTAATTCTCAGATTTTGAAGAAAGCTCAATTATGCATATTTGATAAGTTAAATTTAGATTCGACATGATAAGAATGGGAATTATAGTTGTGGCAATGTTCAACATTTTAATTATAGAGAGTGCAAGACCTCAAGCAGGTATTAGTTTATTAAGCAGGGTTGACATATTACGTAAAATAATGACAGAAGAAGGAAAAACATACATAAATCAATATAAAATGTTTTTCGAACTTGCAATTAAATGTCAAAATCAAATGTAATATGCTATGTAATTTATTTTTAATAAAAAAAAAAAACAATTCAAGAATATTTGAGAATTTTATAACGAGGAAGTTTATTTTGCTAACCAATTAAAAAATCTGTATTTAATTAAAACTGAATTTTCTCTCCGAAAAAATAGTTTATATGTTCAAGTCGTGTGGAAAGGTAAACACAACAGATACTGCGCTTATCAATGAAGTCACCAAAGGTGAACATAAGACACGCGAAGACGAATGTATCTTCACTTTAGAGACGGAAAGGAAACCCCACTTTCTGCTAATTATAGAAAAGTTCCCCCCTGGTAAAGAGGGAAATTGTTCTTGGGAAAAACATATCTTGACTTCTGCATGCATGAACAAGACTCATTGTTTTGGTATGTACATGTATTATAATTAGAAACCCGCGGAAAGTTTTTAAAAATCATATATGTTAGGATGAAAATTATGCTTTTATAAAAATCTGATTTGACCAAAAAAAAAAAAAAAATAAAAAAACTCAAAATTACATTTCCAACTTTTTTGGTGAACACTTAATTTAAGGAGAGTAGCCCTTCAAAAATTCCGGAAATGAAATTTTAAACATGTCGGAAATTATTTTGCACCTCTATGTATAATTTTTAGCATTATTTGGGGGAGGGGGCGTTTTCATAGTCATTTTTAAAAACTTAATTGTACGCAATAAATTGCCCTTTTGATTCTTGGAAAATAACTGGGAAGAGGTTTCAGTTATTCATCTCAGGCCTTTCCGTCAGAGGTCGTTTGTTT